TCTTGAAGGAAGCAAACTAGGTAATCTCATGGACATAAACTCACTTTCAGTCTAATATACCAGAAATGGGGGACTCCAGATGCAAACATTCTAGTTTCCATATTCAAACATAAATTACCTCTGTTTGTAGCCAGGACAAATGATCCTCTGGCATTGGCTTTGGAGACCTTGATAGTTCCCTGGTCTCAGCTCATGCTAGTCTATGCCTAGCCACATCTGCTCAAAAATATAGAGCAAGAGAGGACAGTGGTGACTCTCACTGCACCAAACTGGCTCAGAGGATCCTGGTACACAGACGTTTACTCAGACGTCTTCAAAAATGCTTCTATACTAAAAAGTGTGCATAGATAACACTATTTGCTTCTAGAAACAGAAACAAATTACTCAAAATCGCTGCTAGGAGTGTTTATTTTTATACTAGTGTGCATTGAGCCTTAGCAGATGACCCTTGTCCTCTTTCCAACAGACTAGATATGCTGTCTCAGGGCCCTTTCATAGTATGGCTGTTGAAGCCAAGGTCTTAAGATAGATGGGTTTCTAAGTCTGCTTTTCATACCTTGTTGAAAGAAAGTAAAGCCACTTCCAGAAAGATCTACTATCATACCTGGAAAATCTTTTTTGCTTAGTGTGAACACAGGTTATTCAATCCCAGAGATTACTCTGTGCTTCATTCCGAAAGGACAGGTTTCTGCATTGTCCATACTTTATAAGGACCTCTGGATTTGCTCTCACTTGTAAATATGACTTTTCTTCAAGGTGTATCTAGCATTTAAGTACTAAAGGTAAAACTTTTTTTTAATTCTGGGTAACGTAAGGGAGGGGTTATAATCCATATCAGTTTTTTTTCTCATCTTTGTCCCATTGTGGAGATTTCCCTGCATTTCCTGTCCCATAGCCAAAACAGTAAGTGAGAAGAAATGTCTTCAAAGTGAGAAAATCCCTTGTTACTACCAGGGTCATCAGAATTTGTGTCCCAATGGAAGGTTTATTACTGTTTTGGGGACAACAGAAAATTTTAGATTGTCTTTTACTTTTGATGATAGCAGAACAAATAGAGATGATGAATCTGCCAGACACAGACAGCAATAAAAACCTGACTAATCTGTTTTAATCCCTCTCCACTTTATCCAATACAAAAAAAAAACAGTTTTGCCTTTAGTTAAACTTTAAGCACAGGCTACTGCAACTGAGGCTGCCTTGGGATCTCTACTTGGTTCTCTCCGCCCTGCAGAAACCATCAACAAAGTGGCCTTTTTGGTTGCTATCATGTCTGTCAGACAAGTTGTTTTTTTTTTTTTTTTAAGGAGTCGTTCCTTATACTTCACCCTCAATGAGAACATAGTCCTACCATCCTTATGCCCTGCTCCAAAGCGTCCAAAGTAAATTTCTCTTCATTGCCTGGACATAGTCAGAGTCATTGAAGTATAGCTCAAACCTACAGCTTCAATCAGATTGATCGGCTTTGATCAGGCTGATGGATTCCCCCTTTTTGCATCAGGACCTTGTAAGGGACTCCCTGCTTCCAAGTCCACCATTGTGAGATGGATAAGAAATCTGATTGCCAGAGCTTACACTCTCAAGGACAACTCTCCTCCTGTGCTTTCTCACTCATTCCACCAGATCACTGAGGGTTTCCTGGGCATTTCCTTTGCAGGCCCAGCTTTGTAAGGCTGCCATCCGGTTCTCTACTTTTTCAATGTTCTGCCAGGTAAATGTCCAGTCTTCTGTGGGTGTAGCTTTCGTCTGCAAGATTCTTGCAGTGGCACTCTGAAGTTGGAGCTTTTAGACCCTTGTTGTTAGGCCTGTTGGCAAAGTTATGTTTGCCCTGTTGTTGCCCACCCTTCTCATTTGTTGCTTGGGGACACCTCAGGGCCTATGAACACTCTGCCTGTGTCTTGTACTGTAGGATTAAGATAAGAGGAATTTTGACTTACCTGTTAGTTCCATATCTTGCAGTACAGTACAGGACACAGGCCACCCTCCCCTTCATTCATTGGTTACTCTGCATTGCTTGCTACAAAACTCACAATTTTTGCCTCATTGTCATACCAGCTTCTATCATTAAGTCAAAACCGGGAAACAGTTGAAACCATGTGTCACAGATTGCTGTAGTTAAAATCTGATGGAAAGCTATATAAATGCAAAACTGTGTAAAGTACAGCCTTAGGTGTAGAGTTAAAATGGTGGGAAATATTTATCTTAGTTCATAAATATGTACAAAAGGTTGGAGAGCTTATGGTTTTACAATATAAGGCAGTGATATTGGAATTTAGAATTCTTGCAATTCATCAAAGTATAAGATGGGATATTGAAAAATGGATGTTTATGTGAATGTTGTAATATCATTAGAATAGGGAACATACAGGGAAGCTGGCTCAGATAGAAGGCCCAAAGGTGTTAACTTGCATAGGTTCCAGTTTGTCTTAATCCAGCTCTGCATACAGTACAGGTGATCTTGAATTATTGAGGACCTGTATTTATTCACAAATACAGTAATTTTTTATATGCATATTCTAATAGAATAAAATCATCTGAATATTTTGGGTGATAATATCAAACATCTCTTATTTCCAAAAGACTGGATTTTCCTCGTGACTACTGTCCTTCATATACACCAGCTTTTAATAGTGGATGGGTACCAAGTAATAGCAATGGCCAGCCCTGGGAAGATCCAGTGGAGCTTCAGCATCGTCATGAAGAGTTAAGGTCACAGGTGAGCACTGACATTCTAATAATGTAGTCTTTTTCCAAAATCAGTTTTAATTGATTAATACATTGAAGAAATCAGAAACGACTAGCTGTAACTGTATTCTCTATGTGAGGAATAAAAACATAAGTACCATTACATAGAAAAAAGATTAAAAGAAAGATCGTAGAAAAAACCTCTCACCTGTCATCAATCATCGTGGAATTAATATTTACTATCAAATTGTGGCTATTTAGTCAGCAATATACTATTTAAGACACACTCAATTTCCTTGTAGGCCACAGCTGTATTAAAATCAGATCTGATTAACCCAGTCCTTTATTAGAAATCTTTTGAGGGATCCGAGAATCTTTAATGACAGTGTTCCAGCTTTGAGATTTGTGAAAGAAGCATTTTCAGATCAGCTTGAAGCTCTAGTTTGAGAGGTGCTCCCTGTGGTATAAACTCCCCTTGCACTACCACATTATGAACATCCCCCATACTTACAGATGCCCCCTGCTGAGAATTTTCTGCAAAAGAATTTCGTAGTGTGAAGCAAATTTCACCCAAAATCTCACCATCATCTAAAAGAGATTAATTTAACTTCCAGGTCCACTTTCTGGGGCCTGCAGACATTAAATGCAGCAACAGTGGGGGCATGATCAAGAGTGTTATAGGGAGGATTTTGCCCTTATTGGTCCTCCAGTCACCATTATAGTGGCAGTCACCCTTTCTGGGCAGCTTTGCATAGGAGGGGAACCCAGGACTTCTCCAGAGCTTCCTCCATCCTCTGGAACTCTCTACCCCAATTTATCAGACTATCGCCTACTCTGCTCACTTTTAGGCGATCACTGAAAACCTCTCTTCAGAGAAGCCTATCCTTCAGCTAATAATGGGATCTTCTATTCCGCCTACCAGTCCATCCCCCACAGTTATTACCTTTTGTACCACTAGCCCCTCCCTCTCAGAGTGTAAGCTCCAAAGAACAGGGCCCTCCTAACCCTCTTGCACTGAACTGCATTGCTGTATTGTCTCCCGTTATATTGTAAAACGCTGAGCAAACTCTTGGCGCTATCTAAATCCTGTCTAATAATAATAACCCCTCAAATGAATGTGGTGGACCATGGGAGGTGGGCAAAAAGGCTATGATGCGGATGAGGGCATGTAGGAAGGTGTTGCCAGGTCCCGCTCTCGACCCCACAGGTAAGGGGCAGAGTCTATGCCCCCACTAGTTAGTCTTAACTTCCACCTTACTGAAGAAGTGACATCACATGTCAGGGGTGTGTCTAACAGTAGAGGAAATATATAAATACCCTCATGGAGTTCCCATAGATAAGCTATTCTGCTGACTTTATGTATGTTTGGCCCAAGGAGATATTAGCTGACCGTATTACATAATTTTGGTTCCCTATATAAATTTGTATATTATATTTGTTTTAAGTAGGATAGCATGTCTAGTTATGTGTGCCCATATACCTGGTATATGAATATAGATGTAGCAAAGTGCCTGCTACTACAAGCTGAATACAGAGGATACCATCCTCAGAACCACAGATCAACTAGTTCGCCTCTAGTGCTGCACTCCTCACTTTTCCTCAATTTTTCCTCACTTCCTGACTGTAGAGCAAGGGAATTCTGCTTCGTGGACCTTGGGGATTTGTAGTCCTGTGGGCAGCCATCCCTGTTTTTCTAAGTCCTGTTCAGACTACACACCTCAGAATGCTGCCAGCAAAAAGGACTGTGGGAGAGGCTATATAAAAAAACTGCTTCTGGTGGTCTCTTTCACCCTCCCGGGATCATCTACAGCAGGGGTCCTCAAACTACGGCCCGCGGGCCACATGCGGCCCGCCGAGGCCATTTATCCGGCCCACCGGCAAGGGCATATTTTCCACGAGGAAGGGACACTAAGTACAGGGGGGGCTGCTGTACCTTACCTGGCTCTGGTCCCAGTCCCACGACGATCCAGTCCAGGAAGCGCTGCTCCTTCATTCACTCCGGCCACTCCCTCACGCCTGCCGCTCGGCTCCCCCTCCTCACCGGTGATTGGGCGCCAGAACTGTAGCTCAAGAAAGGCACACAGGCAGCCAATCACCTGCGAGGAGGCAGAGCCGAGTGGCCCCGTGAACATCGAGTGAAGGAGAGGGCCGGAGTGAAGGACAGCTGACAAGTAAGTGTGCCGTGCTGATGGTGCTGCTGCTGCAACCAGGTATGCTGGCTGCAGCAGCACCATGCTGGAACAGGGGTCAGCAAGTTAAGTGTCATTGGTGTCAGTGGGAGGAATAGTGCCCCATCATTGGTGTCACTGATACTAATGATGGGGCATTATTTCTCCCACTGACACCAACGATGGGGCACTATTCCTCCCCCCCACTGACAGCAACGATGGGGCACTATTCCACCCCCCACTGACACCAACGATGAACACTATTCCTTCCCCCCCACTGACACCGATGGAACACTATTCCTTCCCCCACTGACACCAATGTTGGGACACTATCCCCCCCACTGACACCAATGACATACTATTCCTCCTACTGACACCAAAGATGGGGCACTATTCCCACTGACACCAATTATGGGACACTATTCCTCCCACTGACACCAATGATGGGACACTATTCCTCCCACCGACACCAATGTGGGGCAGTATTCCCCCCCCCCCCCACACTGACACCAACGATGGGGCACTATCCCCCCCCCACACACTGACACCAACGATGGGGCACTATCCCCCCCCCCCACATGACACCAACGATGGGGCACTATTCCTCCCACTAACACCAATGTTGGGGCACTATTCCCCCCCCCCCCCCACACCAACGGTGGGGCACTATTCCCCCCCATCACAATGACACCAACGATGGGGCACTATTCCTCCCCCCACTGACACCAATGACATACTATTCCTCCTACTGACACCAAAGATGGGGCACTATTCCCACTGACACCAATGATGGGACACTATTCCTCCCCCTGACACCAAAGATGAGACACTATTCCTCCCACCGACACCAATGATGGGGCAGTATTCCCCCCCCCACACTGACACCAACGATGGGGCACTATCCCCCCCCCCCCACACTGACACCAACGATGGGGCACTATTCCCCCCCCCACAATGACACCAACGATGGGGCACTATTCCCCCCCCACAATGACACCAACGATGGGGCACTATTCCTCCCACGAACACCAATGTTGGGGCACTATCCCCCCCCCCACACCAACGGTGGGGCACTATTCCCCTCCACCACAATGACACCAACGATGGGGCACTATTCCTCCCCCCACTGACACCAACGATGGGGCACTATTCCTCCCCCCACTGACACCAATGATGGGGCACTATTCCTCCCACTGACACCAATTATGGGGCACTATTCCTCCCACTGACACCAATGATGGGGCACTATTCTGCTCCATAAGACACACTTGGGGGGAAATATCTGTGTGTCTTATGGAGCGGCCGGCCCAGTATTCCTGCCGCCGTTGTATGTCCGCAGTCTCTGGTCATCTCCTGTACTGTGTCCACAGTCTCTGGTCATCCCCTGTACTATGTCCGCAGTCTCTGGTCATCTCATGTACTGTGTCCGCATTTGTTCATAGTTTTTTTTTTTTTTTTTTAAACTATAGTCCGGCCCTCCAATGGTCTGAGGGACAGTGAACTGCCCCCTGTTTAAAAAGTTTGAGGACCCCTGATCTACAGAGTGGTGGGACCACAGTTCTACACACAGGGATCTTGAGGTGCCGCGGTCTTGCCTATCCCAGCTATGCTGGGCACCATGGGGAGGCTGATCATCATTCCTGTTTGGCAGCCTGAGAGCAAGATTGTGAACTTTGACACAGATTGCTTACTTCAACACATCTGGCTGGCTGACAAAGTACACTGTTCAACAAATTTTTATTTTTTGCCAGTTTTGGAAACAAAAGGATCCATTTCTTAATGAATTTCACATTCTGAGTTCAAATATAACAATGAAATTTGTCAATTAGCTCTAGTTTTTCTGTAAACGGAAAGTTTTCTACTATAGGCGTAATGACTACATAATGCACAATAATTATATAGATAGATGTCTTTCCACAAATATAAAGCAAGTGATATTGACTACATAACAAAGCCTAAATGGCATAATATATTGCATAGGATTACCAAGAAAAATTATAGCCATAAGATAAGTTGAATCATTTTAATACTTAGGATTCTCACTAGTTTTGTCTTCAGTTTGTGTCGGTTTTGCTTCTCTTGGCTTTTCTCTTGTATTCGAGGAAAGGGCTATCTCTTACAACTGCACGTGACTACACGCTTCAGGTTCTTCCTCACTTGACTCAACCATGAAGGATTCTGGTGCTTTAGGAATTGGTAGCCCCTCTCCATGAGGAACTGGACGTATTGCCGATGGAATATTTGGATAGTGCACAGATAACTTTTTCTTCTTATTTAGCCCTTTTACAATTGGAGGCACCATACAAAAGTAACAATTACTAACATGATCTGTTGGCTCTCTCCAAATCATTGGCACAGCGAAAGGCATAGATGCCTTTTTTCCATTCAACCATTGCTCCAGTGCCGTCCCACAAGAATTGCAGCATATATGTGGTGCCCAGCTCTTGTCCTGGTCTCCTATCTTGCAGCCAAAATACAAGTTGTAGGCTTTCTTAATCATTCCTGTTATCCTCCTTTTTTGTGAGATAAAGTTATTTCACCGCAGATATAGCAGAAATTATCTGCTTTATTCACACAAGTTCGAGGCATTACTGAGTAGCCTATATAAGCATAAAACGAAATGTAAAGACGCTGTCGAACTACAATCAGCTACAGATACTGCAGCTTTTATGCAGTGAAGTGATGCAATTAAAGGCTAATATTGCATCATCTCAGTATACATGCAATTTTCTATTGGTCACCAGTATCAATTGCGCAATATGCAGCTGAAGTTGCATCATAATTTTGAATGGCTTACGTCATTAGATGGGTGAATATATCATGGAAACTAGAGCCAATCAACATTTTTTAGGGTCATTTTCGTTTTCAGCACCCCAAAATTATGTAAGATTAGCTAATTTTATGCCCAAAACATTTTACCTGTTGAACAGTGGTATCTATGCTTTTACTCTGCTGGATCACAGAGCCTGCATTGCACCCATCATCTCTGCAAAGGTTGCCCTTTCAGCCAGCCAGGAGTAGTTAGCAGTCAGATGCCGAAAATCTCTCATTCTGCTATTCATAGTATAGAGAGACTGCATGAAGACGTCATAACCTGGATTTCTTAAAGGAGCCTTTACTTTGCTATGCCTGTCATCTATTTAGTGATCACTTTAGCACTCTATGGATTCGTTCTTCATTTCTGAGCTCCAGTGTGCCGGTGAAGATACTCCCTTTACTAGGAACCTGAACTACCCATATATTATTATTAGTGGTGTGTGAATTCTCTCCAAAGGAGATTTCACTTTCTTATGTTATAAATCCAGATTTGGTCATGTTGGTCCAGAGGCGGCTACATAGTTAGTCTGGTTGAAAAAGACAAAAGTCTATCCAGTTCAACCACTAAAAGCTGAACTGTTGCTGGGACCCTCCACTTGAACTAATGTCATCTTTGCCATAACTTTCTCTCTTTTGTTTGATATCTTTTTCTGCTTTTACCCCAATTGCTCAGTATGGCTATTGCATGACACACATTTAAATTCACCTGTCCCTGATTGCTTAATTTTTCTCTGATATTATCTGTTTATTTGGTGTTCATTTCAAACAGAACTAGAGGTTGTTTCAAGTACTGATTGATTGTCATTCTGAACCTACTGTTTGTCTTTATTAATACAATACCTGCAGTGTTAAAATTTAAATTGTGCCTGCTGATCATGTCAAGGGGCATTCAATATGTCAGAACCTAGAGTGTCAGAAGGGCTGGGAAGTTTACAGGGTCGGCACAAGAGGACAAGCCTCGTCTAGCGGCTCAAACAGGGGTACCACCACATTTGGAGGCTCATCCAGGATGTCCTCTTATACCAGCCCTAGTAAGCCAGACTATGAGTCAAGGAGTGAGTTTGCTATAGATTCAGCTGCCGCAGCCATATGGGGCCAAGAGCAAGAGCCCATGTTCAAATGTGTGTAGTAATTGAGGTCCTGTGAATGGGATGATAGGCAAGTCCGAAAGTAGGTGAGAGCTCTAGTGCCAAAGGGCATACATTCTGCATGTGAGAGTGGAGCTTACGCTGGACTGCACCCGAGTGTTAGATTGGCAAGAGACTATACCCGCCTGCTTCTGGGGAGAAGAAAAGTTTAGCTGAAGGGGTGGATGCTTGAGTGGTCCAGTTGCAATCAACCATAGACTTGACAGAGGGGTGCCCACAGGCCAGCCTGGAAAAATTCAGAGTTGATTGATACAGACTCCCGGGCCTCTTCCTACCCTGACTTGAGTAAACTGGTTGGGAATTTAGTGAAGAACAGCTCAGTCTTGGCCAACCAAAAAGGTACAGGAAACTGTGTTTATTCTTTGGGCAAGTTCCAACCCCTATAGGAGAAGAGGAGTTTCAGACCTGGATGGACCAGGCAAATCAGGCTGTAGAAGAGTGGTCTGTGAAAAGGCAATGACTCTTCACAGTCTCAAGGGCCCAACAGTGGAAGTGATTCTCAGCCTGCAGATGGTGAAGCGGGACTGTGTAGCAATGAACTACATTGAGGCCTGTGTTTGGGCGGGTGGAGAAACATCCAGATCTCCTGTACAAGTTTGAACATACCCATCAACGGAGGGGTGAAAGACTGAGTATATAAAATATCTGAGTATATATAATGAGTAGATAAAATATTGCACCAAATCATTCTGAAAAAGGGCATAGACCCCGGAGATGTGGACAAAACTTGGCTAGACCAGGTTCTGCTAAGAGCACATCTGAATCACCCAGTTGTTTTGAAGCTCTTGCTCAAGGGGTCCCGTGCACTCCCCACCTACCCAGAGCTGGTGAAAGAAGCAAGAGAGGATGAAATTAGAGGAGAAGAATGAAGAGCAGAAGGAATTGACTAAGTTGGGGTTAAAGAAAGAGAATCCACTCATGCAGCTCAGTTGGAGAGTTACTTCTCTGATGAGAACAGTGATTTGGAGACAGACAAGGAAGGACACTCAAGCTTGTCTACCACAAAGACTGTTAGTGAGTCCTACAAACAGCTGTTGACCCATGCTGCCCAAACTCAGAATCACATAACAGCAAGCCTTGTTGCAAGTGATGGAGATGCAAGTGACTGAGAAAAAGAGATGTTTCAGATGCGGGGAGCCCAGACACTTTAAAGGCCTGATGTTCAAAGACGGAAGCTAGAAAGGAACTATTAGCTGAGGCCTTACAAAAGCTTTTCTTAACAAACAAAAAGGGTAAAACTACAAAAGAGCCGAGAAGAATGAGAGCTCCAAAAGCAAAATCCCCTGGACATTTTTTTAAGCCCCCTGTTAGCACGTAGTCCTAACCCACCAGAGTTAGGAAGAAAGACAAAGAGAGTCAATGCACCACCTCCTCCCAGAGTTGCTGCTAAATTCCATCAACAGCCATGGAGACCAACTGGGGCCCAACCAGTCAAACCTAGGTCAACTGGTGAATCAAGAAAGAGTGTAGGCTCTAGATCTACTCAGCAATCATAAAAACCAACTAGGGTCCAAGCAGTCAAATCTAGGCAGAATGATTTTTCAGAAAAATTTGTAGGTCCATCCCCCATTGTTTCGGTACAAGTGGAGGGTGTCTACCAGGGGCGGACTGACAACTCATAGGGCCCCCGGGCAATAGGGGATCATGGGGCCCCTGTGTCCTTGACCAAACTCAAAAAATCCTATGAAAAAGGTACCAGGAGCATCTCAGGGGCCCCCTACTGACTCCAGGCAGTGCCTGAGTTTCCAAATGGTCAGTCCGCCCCTGGTGTCTACACCAAGACCTTACTAGATACTGG